GGGCTTCCCTGCCTTTATTTTTTGTTCTCCTTGATGAAAACTGTGTTTCCGTGTCGGTGATGAGACATTTTGCAGAGCTCAGAAGGCTCCTCCTTGAGGAGCTAAGTCAGCTTTTCCTGTTAAACGGGAGAAGCTCAGGTTACAAAGATCCCCACCTTTACAATGATTATTTTTTAAATGAAGCCACGCTGTGGTTTTGGCTCTACCCCCCTGACGGTTCTGTGAGTGGATTGTTGTTGCTCACTCTAATGAAGATAATCTTGGAAGGGAGGATGTGGTGGAAAGTCCAGAAGGGGAAGTGGATGCAGCAGCCAGTTCTTCTGTCAGTGGCACAATCTGCCTGAGACAAAATGAAGATTTAATGTTCTTTCTGCTGTGCTCTGTGGGATTCCAAGGCCAGACCTTCATCTTGTCTGGCTCACAGAACCTCTCCAGCTCTCACTGGTGGAAGCTCACTGTGTGGTGAGCTTGGTGATGGTTTGGTGGCCCACGGGGCCACCTTGTGCTTGGCTAACACCACAAACCTGGTGGGAATGCCAGGGCTTGCAGTGCCCTGCTGCTGCCTCCTGCAGAAGTTGTGCACTTGGTAGCTGGGGGAGCATGGGGAAACATGCTGTGCTTTCTTCTCTTTATTTCCTATGGTTTGTTTTCTGGCAACAGGAAAGAACAGGAGGCTGAAGCAGGCAAAGGAGGAAGCCCAGGCAGAGATTGAGCAGTACCGACTGCAGAGGGAGAAGGAGTTCAAAGCCAAGGAAGCAGCGGTTTGTTTTCTAGATCATTCACTGTTAACCTCTGGCCTCCTGTTTGTGGTGACTTGTCCTGAGAGCAGCCCCCAGGCTGGAGAGAGGAGAACTTCCCTGACTGATTTTCTCTGATGCACAGCCACGTGGCAAGGAAAAACCAGTGGAAGTGACTCAGAACGTGGTGTCTTGCTTCTCAGCAGCCAGAACTATTGACTGGTGGTCAATTAGCTTAATAAACTCATGTACTGGCTGGTGCCCTAATGAGTTGCAGGGTCCCAAAACCAACTCTGTAGCAGTGTCAAAAAAACACCAAGCTCATTCCCCCTGTCATGAGCTGGTTTCTGTGCTGCTGATGTGGTAGAAACTGTAGATGCTGCTCTTCAAGTTGTAAGGCTTGCATCCTGCCTTAGCAGTGGTGCCTGTGGTGTGAAGGGCTGTGTTTTCCTTTCCCCCTGAGCAAAAGGAGCTGTTCCCAAAAGTCACAGAACTAGGGCCCTTCCCCAGCCAAGGGCTGTAGCATAGGCAGGATGTTTTCCCTGCCCTTGTGCTCCTGTCAGTTCTGAAATCTTCAGAAAACGACCTGGCAGCCTGCCCCTCTGTCCATCTTCTGGTTAGCACAGTTACCACCTCCTCTGTTCTGCATAATAACCTTCATGTGAGTAGGGCAAGATGTTTTCCAGTCAGTTGTTAGCTTGGTTCACTGGAGGTATGATACCAGCTAATTCCAGGCTAATAAAGTGAACTTCAGTGCCTGTCAGCTGGCTCTGTTGTATTTATTCTCCAGAGAGAGAACCTCTTTGAATTTGAGCCCCAGAGTACTGTTCTCCTTCAGTGTACTTGTTCCATGTCTTTTCCCACCACTTACAGTGGGAGTTTGCTCTCCCAGCCCTTGTTTGTAGGGCAAGGACACTGTAAGCTGAAAGATCCTCCTTGCTGTGTGTGTGACATGGTCCACAGTCCTGTTAGGAAGAGATATTTTTTTATGAAGAGGAATGATGTGAAGACTGTGCTTAAACTAAATCATGAATTCTGTGTTTCTAACAGTGTCTGGTACTGTAGTGTCCAGGGGTTCCCAGTTCCAGTTGCCAGTACAGCAGGACTGAGAACTGTACTTTTGTTTTAGGCATTCAACAGAAGGCCATGCTCTCAGCTGATAATGAATAAGAGGATAAAAAAGGCATGGGCTGTGGGTAAAACATAAACTTGGGCAGGTTTAGTGGGAAATCTGAGGAGAGAATCAGGCAGTGCTGCTTCTTTGCTTGAGTGCAGTTCTTCCCCCAGCAAAGACTAGTGGTTGGGATGCAGTGAGGCAGTGCAGAATAACAGACTTCAGAGGAAGGCACATTCCTTTCTTTGTCAAACTGCTTGCATGTGAGCTTTCTTTTTCCTTTGGTGTTTGTAGGCACTTGGATCTCATGGCAGCTGCACCACTGAAGTTGAGAAAGAGACCCAAGAGAAGATGAGTGTGATCCAGCAGAACTTCCAGAGGAACCGTGAGGTGGTTCTCTCCCAGCTGTTGTCACTAGTGTGTAACATCAAACCTGAAATCCATGTGAATTACCGGATCAATGGGTAGCAC